CCCCCCCCCCCCCCCCCAGCTCAAAAGCACATTTTTACCTAAAGGTTAGAAAAGCAAGACCCATAGAGAAAGGTCTTTGGTGAAAGCATAAGGTGCAGAAAAATGTCTTGGGAGCTGGTGTGGACATCAGCACAGTCAGAAAGAGCAGCTATTTTGGGCCACACATCTTGTCCCCCACACGCCAGGCAAGCTGAGGGATTTTATTTTTCTGCCTGGCTCCTGTTACTCGTCCCTGTGAGATGCAGCAAGGAGCGGTGGCTTGGGGACTGTTGTGCCAGGGACAGTCCGTGTGGAATTAAAGCCAATTCTGGGGAGATCACAGCCTTTTCTACACATCCAGAGCAGCTCCCAGACTCTGTGGCTGCAGTTAAACACGGGCTGTGCTGTTTGGGACAGTGACAATCCTTGCAGCAGTTTGCACTGATTTAAACACAGAATAATTGGTGTTGGAAGGGACCTTTCAATGCCCCAACTAGATCAGGTTGCTCAGAGCCCCATCCAACCTGATCCTGAATATTTCCAGGGATGGGAAATATTCTGGATGCCCAGCTTCTCTGGGCAACGTGTACTGGTGTTTTACCACCCTCTAGTGTAAAAAACGACTCCCTAACTCTAATCTGAATTAAATGTCACTCTGCTCCCTGCAGGCCCTGGCAAACACTCTCCTTGTCCTGTATAACACAGCCAGTAGCTCTGGTGTGACACAAGGCTTCTGGCTTATCAGTAGCTTGGAACAGATGTGTGATACATGAGGTTTTCCTGGGTTTTCTTCATGACTTTTGCATGAGAACAATTATGTGTGAGAAGGTCCTGGAAGAGCAGTGAGGCTCTGTAACAAGGTGGAGACCCAAGCTGAAGACTTGGATGTTTTCCATGGGAATAGGGAAGTGGTTTGAGCTATGGACACGGCTTGGCATTCCTGGAGCACAGGGCTCTGTCACCTCAGCCCTGCTGTGGAGCAGGAGCTCAAGGACCTGCCTGGAAGCATCCAAATCCTCGAACTCTGTTGCCTTTTAGCCAGAACTTGACAGTGATAAATGACAGGGAGCAGAACAGCAGCTTGCTGACGCCCACTCATCCGTCAAAGCAAGATTAGTATGTGCCTATTTTGGTTTCCCCTTTAATCAAAAATCAATTAGACAATTTCCAAATGAATATTCAGCCAAGGAGCAGGCTGTCAGGCAGACTGACAGTGCTCAGCATCACTTTGTGATGTTCAGAGTTATTCAGTTGTTAGAGTTATTCAGTGTATTGCAACTAAACAAGTGGATGAGGAAGAAAAAACACCTCTTTCCCTGGAGTTGTCACCTCACATCCTGATGGAGGATTATTCTCCATTCCAGATATTCAAAGCACCCTCCATGGAATGCCACCGTGCCTGGTGTTTGGCTGCACAGCTGTTCTCCTTCTCCTGCTCCCATCTGACTTGCAGCCAGAAAGATTGGGGGTTTTTATTTCTGTTTCAGGGGGTGTGCCTGAGTATTTTTAACTTGGTTATTAAAATAAATAGGAATTATGCAACAGCTCTTTGCTCAGGAAGTCTCTGTGCTCACTTCCCTATTCACCAAAGAAAATTTCTAAAATCCCACTGGAGAGTTTTGACCAATTTTGACAGGGAAAAAACCCATTCCATTCCACTTTCCCAGCAGGCCTGCACCACATACACCCTCACAGCTGTGTGAAGGAGGGGGTCTTTTCAGGGGAACTTAAAAGATGTCAGCTCTGGGTGTTTCTGCACTGGAAGAACAAACCTGGAGCATAACGTGTAGCAGAGGGAATGGCCACCAGCTTCTTGGGACCGGGGATCTTGGGTACTTTGGAGGGGGTTTTTCCAGGACGTGCAGTGGTTGGAACTCTGCCCTCCTTCTGGCCCCAGGAGCTCTTGTCCCTCTTGGGTTCCTGAGATCTCCTCTCCTCCTTTTGGCCCCAGGAGCTCTTGTCCCTCTTGGGTTCCTGTGATCTCCTCTCCTCCTTTTGGCCCCAGGAACTCTTGTCCCTCTTGGGTTCCTGAGATCTCCTCTCCTCCTTTTGGCCCCAGGAACTCTTGTCCCTCTTGGGCTCCTGAGATCTCCTCTCCTCCTTTTGGCCCCAGGAGCTCTTGTCTCCCTTGGGCTCCTGAGATCTCCTCTCCTCCTTTTGGCCCCAGGAGCTCTTGTCTCCCTTGGGCTCCTGTGATCTCTTCTCTTCCTTTTGGCCCAAGAAGCTCTTGTCCCCCTTGGTGAGCTGAAAGCTCCCATCCTCCTCATTGGTCTCAGAGCTCTTGTCCTCCTGGTAGGCCCGAAAGCTCCTCATCACCTTCCAGATGCAGAACCTGCGTGAGAAACACCAGAGACAGTGAAGCTCCAAGGAGACAATTCTAGCTGAGCTCCAGGGGAGTGTCTGATCTGCGTTTTCAGCATGGCAGAGGAACAAGTGGCTGGAGATAAAGGGTGGCATTCCCAGAGCCTCCTCCACCTTGGGACAGAGGGGATGGATAGGTACCTTCTCCAGAAGTACATCAGGATGGGGAAGAGGGTGACCTTGGCATTGTGGTAGATAGCCCGGGTCAGTGGCCCCTTGGAAGATGGACGGCAGATTAAATCCCTCTCTTTCTCAGAGATGTTGACCTGGGCACAGAAGATACTAAAGCACTTTGCAGCCATCCTGGCTTCTTCATCCAGCCGGGTTTCTATCCCTGACCCCACCTCAGCAGTCCCTAAGAGCCCCAAATTCCATCCTGGCTGATTGCCCCAGGCACAAGGGCAGGATCCCACCTGGATTTCTGTGGGAAGTGCCCTCCAAAGGGGAGATGGCAGAGCTACCGGGAGGAGATGGGGTGGGTGCAGTGGGGAGGGGATGATGGTGACACTGGCCTCTGAAGAGTGAAAGGACTGGATTGGTGGTGTGCAGCACCATCCTGGTGCTTCAGCCCTGGCATTTGTCCAGCAGGTAATGCTGGAGATTCATCCCCATCTCTCCCACCCTTATCCACATGCTTGTTCTCAATTTATCAGGGTCTGGTGGGGGGTTGCTTCCCATCCTTCCCAGCCCATGTGGAAGCCCCAAGCTCAAGAGGACACTCCAAAGCCCCCCCCAGCAGATCCAGACCCCTGCCTGTTCCTCCTTCCCCACCACTATTCCCAGCTGAGCAGGCAGCAGCTTCCAGCCTTCCTGGGTGGGTCCTGGGGTCTCACCCGCAGCTTGGGGGGGAGATCAGAGTTCAGGAAAAGTCTGCTGATGATTTCACGTTTCTTTCTGAGAAAGGCGACGTGCCTTTCTGACCGCATCTTGTGGAGTGCCACAGCTCCTATGGAGTCAGCCAATCTGGAAAACCTGCAGAGGCATGTGGGGTCTTGCTCTGAGACAAGTTCTAGGTTAGACAGCCGTGTTCTTGCTTAATTTGGTATTTGCTTGGCCAGGAAAAGCAATCCTCAAGGTGTGGAACAGTGACACGGGAGGTATGAAAAGCCACCTCCCTCTTCTGCCACCCTCGTGGTCACAGGATTCACCTGGGGCAGGTGATGTTCTCCCTTTTTGGAAAAAGAAAAGGACTGAAAGCTGGGGATTTGCCTGTTGTGGGGGTGTTGGCTGCAGGATTGGTGCCCATTGGCCATGGATTGTTCTTCCAGGTTTGCTGGGAGTGTGGGCAAAGTCAAGGGAGAAATGCCACCACAACTGGGACATCCAGAGTGGTGTGGGAAAAATGTTGGATTGCTTGGGACTACCAGACCAAAAGGATTTCAAACAGGAACCCTGAGCCAGGGGATGACTGCAGGCTGAAATTAAGGCTTTGGAGGTTGCCATCAGAGATGGGTTGGAGCCAGAGCCAAGGGAGGCAGGTGCCAAATTGGATGGAGCAACCTGAGATGTCTCTGCCCATGGCAGGGAGTTGGAATGAGATGACCTTGGTCCCTTCTAACCCAGGAAATGATGCATTAAGTTTTATGCATTCATAGTTTTCATATTCTGTGCTGCCTAGGTGTGTAGTTTTGAGTTTCATATTAAGTGTTAGCGAGCTCTTTTCACAGAGCAGGTAGACAAAAATATTCCTTCTCCAACTTGATACCAAGGACAATCATTACAAGTTTCAGGCCCAAAAGCAGAAATATTGCTGGACTGAAGAGAGAAAACAAAAAGGATGTGACTTCATATCCTGAAGCAGTGATTGGACAATTAACCCTGATATGCAGATGGACCAAAACTTATAAAAATGTGAGACCTCATGAGCAATCATCCGTTTTGTGACCATTTTTAGGTCCATCTTGGGAGTAGCCCATGCCAGGCTCTTGTACTGCCCGAGGTGTGTCCTTTAAGGCCTTTCAATAAATACCTGCTTTATTCTTAACTCTGTCCAGCCTCTGTCCTAGTCAGCCTTCTCCAGGCATCAAAACCATGCTGAGATTCTGCAGTGGTACCTGAACACGTGGTGGAAGAAGAACTTACTTGTCCATCTCCAGGTAAAAGCGGAGGTCATCGACGAGGAAGCTGATGATGACGAGCTGTTTGTCCAAAATGCGGCGCTTTACCAGCGTCACCTTCTGCGGCTGGGCTTTGCCCTTGCGGGAGCGGGAGCTCTTAGCGGGACTTTTGCCCTTCTTCTTCTTCTCCTTGATGGGCAAGTCTGGGACAGGGGAAGAGATGCTGTGTCCTGCTGTCCAGCACTGGGTTTGCTCCTTCACCTCACCTGTTGCTTCATGCAACTTGCTGAAGGCCTTTCTACCTCTGTGGGTGACACCCTCCCCTCTAGCTTGGTGATTTCCTCCATCCCTCCTCCTCTTTGCACCCACAGAGTGTTTATGTTCCCTGTTTCCATAGGGAATGGCCTGTTCCTAAAGCCTGCTGGTGTGTCCAGCTGTTGGCCTGGCTCTGACAGAGCCCACAAGAAGATAATGAGTGAGAATGAAAGGGAAGAAATCTCTTGTTTCCCCCATATACAAAATTCTCTCTATCTAAATAGGATTTCTGTGTGTTTAGTAGATTACTTTTCTAACTGCTTTTCCAACCTCCTCTCACACCTGTGTGTAAGCTTTCTGTCTAGGTCAGCTCCCTGTTGCCAAGAAAACAATTTCCTTTTGTTTATTTTTCTGGCCTGTCTCACCTTAGCTCCATTTAACATTTCCTGTTTTGGGTTGGGATTTTTTTTTTTTGTTTGGCAGGGATGCAAACTTGCATATACAACATTTTTTGAGAGAGATGCAACAGCATAACGGGGCACTAAGTCATGGTGGTGGGAGGTAAGGGATAGGTTTTCTCCATTTTCTTCTCTGCCTAAACCCAGGGGTGTCCTGGGGAGGGAGGAGAAGGGGTGGCAGGACACTGCACATACTTTCCCTCTCGTTTCTTCGCTCCTGACGGAGAAACTCCTCAAATTCTGCACGGCGTTCTTGATTTTTCATCTCCCTCTGGAACTTGCAGAAGCTCCCGACAAGCTCCCGGATGGCATCCCAGGCCCATCCCTGCAGAGACATGGCACAGGGAGCTGCAGCCCTGGGGCTGAGCCCTCCTGTTTGGACCAACCACCGTGAGCTGGAGCAGCCTTGGCAGTGGGATTTGTGACCCAGCCATCATCTTTGCTTTCCAGTATTCCTCAGTTTCCCTGGTGGCCCCAGGGGATGGTGTGAATCGCTCAACCAGGACTCCAGAGCCTGTAAGAGGGAGCCTTTCCCTGCTGACTTTCTGCAGCTCTCCAAGTCTGACCCCCTCACCCCATTCAGGTGACATCCCTTGTCTCACAGCACCTCCTCTCTTTCTTGCCTGGCATCCTCAAACACCCTCAAACATCCTCAGCCTGCCAGCACACAGGATCTTTCCTCACCATCCTCTGTCCCGCTCCCTCTTCCTGCACGTGCTGGCGGCGCCTAGACTTGGGCTTTTTGCTCCAGGGAAACAAATCCTCCTCCTGCTGCTGCTGCTCCTTCTGCTTCCGTTTCTTCTTCTGTGTCTGCTGCTCTTTCTTCTTCTTCTTCTTCTTCTGATGGATGCCTTCCTCCTCTTCCTCATCCTCCTCGTCATCCTCCTCAAACCTGCCAGATGGGAGAGCAGAGAGGGCATCAAGGGCAGCCAGAGGCATGAGGAGAGCATTGGTTTGATGGAAGGGGAGCTAAGGTGGGGAGCAGCTGATAGGGGACGGCCCTGGGGTTGGGGTCCCACTGGATTTCTGTTCCTGGAGGAGGTTGGACAATGGTAGAGGGCACTGGATCCCCTCCCCTGGGCTCTCTTCTTGCATGTGGTCACCTTGGGAGTGTCTGTCCTTCTTATCTGCAGTGTTTCCTTTTCCAGTCCAGCAGCCTGCAGGCCCAGAAGCGATTTGGTAGGTTTGGGGTGAGGGATGGAATATCAATGTAGTGGCTGATGGGTCATAGAAAAATGCATTTCCAGCAGCTGCTGTCTGGCCCCTTGGGGTGGGATGGATGTTGGGCAGGGTGCATTTGTATAACTGGAGAAAATCAACTCAGCTCAGGTGCTCACCATCACTTTTCCATTTGCTTTATATGCCAGGGTGAAGCTGTAAGTACTCAGGGCTGAAGCATTCCCAGGAGGTGAGATGTAAATCCAGAGATTTAAGTACAGCTACAGTGTGATTTTAAGTGGTTTTTCTGGGAATCTGGGCGCTGCCCAGGTGGCATTCTGGGGGTTGACTGAGGATGAAGTGCACAAGAGGTGCACAAGGTGTGAAGAGTAAATCTGAACTGGGGGTGGGGAGTGTTAACTTTCCTCCTATCCCTGGTAATTCTGCAGTTTAGACCCACAGGCCACCTATGCCTGAGAGGGCCAAATGACCAAACAGGGAGCAGTTTGGAAACTGGGAGAAATCTGAAAGAGTGGAAGGAGCTCTGTGCTGCGAGGTGCCAGACCTGCGTTTTCTAGACGCCTTCTTCCTTGCAGCAGCATCAGCATTCTCTCTAGCAATCCTCTCGGATGCAACAGCTGTGGGGACAGAAACAGGGCTGGCCTCTTCCTCAGGTGACAGCCAGAGCCTGCACACAGCTGGTCCCTGGAGCCTCCACATGGTGTGTCCGGTGATTTTGGCTCTGGAGACACTGTGGGAGCTCTTTAGCTCTCATGGTTTTACCTCCTCAGCATCTGCTTCAGAGAAATCCCCTACTCCCACCCTCCCTGGCTGCATTAATGCCCCAGAGCACAGCTTGTTGTGGCTGGGTAGGCCTTTCCTGCTGGAGAAATTCCATCAGATGATGCCTCCTGCTTGCCCAGTCCCTGAAGCCAAGGGTGATAAATGTTAGGGAGCCCACCCTGCCTCTTGCCTGCCCAGCCTGGACTCACCAAATGCTGTACTCATGAGCTGCAGAAGCTCCTCTTCCTTGCTTGGGCTACCCACATCCTGCACATCTGCCATAATCCTCTGTAATTCTGCATGAGAAAGAGGAGAGGGGACAGATCCCACATCCATTACCTCTGGTTATGACAGCCCATCAGCACTGCCTCTGAGGGTTGGGTTTTGTTATCTTCCCTTGTGTGCCCTGTTCCATGATCTATCCATGACACTGCATTTCTTGGGTAAAACTGAGCTACAGGGGTGCTGCAGATGACTGATGTCACCCTCAGTGCACCACAGGTGCTGAGAAGATTGGTGTCATTCCCAAAATATTGCATGACAGAACAAAGCTGAGGGGTTGCACCAGTAAAACCAGCATGGCCAGTCCCAGCATCCTCAGGAGAAGGACAAAATGTGGAAGTGGGGTGGCAGGAGCCACTGCTGGCTTTGGGCTTTGGTCACTTTTCTGCAGCCTTCATCTGATCCAGGCCAGTGCAGGGATGTGGCATTGGTGCCCCTGGTACTGGCAGGAGGGAATTCAGCCCTTAGGCCACTTCCAAAGCTTTGGTTACAAATGAAGGCTCCCAGACCCTCTGTACCAACCCACTCCATGATGCCCATCGCCTGTTTAGGGCCCCTGGTCACCACCAGAGCATCAAACATGCTGGCTTCAGCCAAGGTGAGCCACAGCAGGAATTGGGAACCTCCTCTTACCATCACTGCCCAGGAGCAGCTCCAGCTCTGCCTGGATGGAGCCCCCTTTCTGGAGGTCCCGAGCAGCAAGCAATTGCCAGTGCCTGGAGGAGACCTCCTCCAAGCTCCTGGTGCCGTGCAAGGCCTGGCTCAGCTTCAGGGACTGGTTCATCCTCTGGGACAGGTGGAAATGTTTTCCTGTGCTGTCAGCACGGCCTGGCACCTCGGCCATGGGGACGTCCATCCCTGGAGCCTGAGGCAAGAAGAGAGCAGGCCGATGGCACCCAGCACCTTCCCCGTCTCCAGCGCTGTGCCCACGTGTTTTACAGCCCCTCAAACCACAAACCTGCCCAGTTTAGATCTCTACTCGAGCTTTAAGCAGTCTGGAAGGAATCTTTGTGAGCACAAAGCTCATCTCAGCCAGCTGGGAAGTGGCGGGGATAGGCAGTCAGAGGTAGGCCAGACACAACCTCGCAGCTTTCCTGAAGGGTTCATCATCCTCCAGGAGGGCTGGAAACAACCCTGAAGGTGTCCCCAGCAGCTTCATGTCCTGTTTTGTCGTTTGCTGTCACCCGGGCTGGCCCCAGCTGCTGCCCTGGGAGTGCCTCCCTCATTCCCCCAAAACCCTCCTGCGGGGTTTGCCTCTCCCCACAGACACACAGCTTGGCCAGCTCGCCAAGCAGCAGCGCTGGAGCTGAGGTTTCTGGCTGAGAGCTGAGAGCAGGCACCAAAAATAACCCTGCTAAGCCTCCAGCAGCTCCCCTGACTCCAGAGCAGGAGGAGTTTGGCTCAGGGGATGGTGCCCACAGCCAGCACGGCCCTGATGCCTGCTGAAGTGCTAATTGCACTCCCAGACCAGCTCTGGCCTCAGAGGGGAGATCTCCTTGTCAAGAGATGCTTAAAAACCTGGGCAGCTAATTAACTTCCCACCAAGAGCAGTTAATGAGTCAGGGTTGGGAGCTGCCAGCTGACTTTTCCAAAATGCCCAGCTCTCACTGGCTGAGACTCTGGGAGCCAGGTCTTTGAGGACAACAAGCCCTGACAGCCTCTCCTTAACATTTCCAGGATCAGCTGCTGATTTTGCATTTCGTTTTGGGAAAACAGTTGTTCTGAAGAACACCATCTGCAGTGAGAAAAATTGCCTGCATGGTTTGTGCAGGTACCAGTGCAGGTGGGATGCTCAGGAGGTTCTGTCTGCAAGGAGGTTTCTGGGTGTAATGCTGGAATTTGGGGGGAGGTATTATGGGATTTCTGATGCCAGGAGGAATAATAACCTGGGAAGAGTGCTTGTGTGACTCTGATTTCTTGTATCATCCTTTTTGGCGGAAAAAAAAAATATGTGGAAAACTTGAGGGTGGTTGAGTCACAGGCTAAAAGGCTGCATGGCCTCTTCCCCCTCTGTGCTGGCTGGGAATATGGTGGGATACCAGACCACTGGAGCTAATGCTGGGCTTCTCCTCCCTCCATCCTTCCCTCTCTCTCTCTCCCCCCAGCTTTTTACATCCCCACTAGAGCCTGCACACCCCCCTGAGGATGCCCCTGTGCACCCCCCTTACCATAAACTGGAGGAACGTCCTGTCATCGACGGCCAGAAATTCCTCATAGAGGCTGCAGAGCACCTGAGGAGGAGCAAAAGGGGATTGTCCCCAGGCAGGGTCACAGTGCTGGTGCCACGGGTGGCTCACAACTTCCCAGGAACACGCCTGCACATCCAGCTTGGCCCATTGGGGCTGCCCACAAGGGATGGCCTTCTAAATGGGTTTTACTGTGCTTGTGTGGAACCAGTGGTGGATGCAAAAGGATGGCAAGTGTCCTGTCATCCCCATCCCTTAGAATCACCAGCCAGGGTCACCAGAGATATTCAATGACTGCTCACAGCTGCTCTGCTGCCCAGCAAACCAGTGAGGATGCTCCTCTCCACTGGCCTGGGGCATCTCAGGCACTGCTCCAGTGCAAAGTGACTGTAAGATTTTCCCTTCCTAATCTCTTTTTCCTCTTAATTTTCCAAATGCTTCAATTCCTAAGCATTCCTATAGCCCTCACACCACCACAGCCAATGCCAGCTGTACCTCCCAGCCTGACCACTGCCAGCACCCCTGTGTACCTTGCAAATCTCCTTCTGGGCTCTGAATATCCAGGGGGAGAATTCTCCACTTATCAGATAGTCCCACAGACTCATGAGAGTCCTGGTCTCCAAGGGAAGCTTCTCACTGCTGCTCTCCTCCAGGTAGGTCTTGCAGATCTTTTCCCCAATCAAATGGCGCAGGAAGAAGCTGTTTTCTCTGTTGGAGTCCAGCACCACGGGCAGAAACTCCTCCAGGTCGTGCCACAGGTCCAGGAGATGAGTCTCCATGGGCCTGTTCTGGTGCTGCAGGAAGTCTCTGAAGGGTCGTCCCGCACAGGCCTCAGCACTCAGGGCCCAGGGAAGGAAATCCAAGGTATTGACTGGCTTTTTCAGGGATGGCAGCCGGGCAAGGGATGCAGAGGGAGGCGAGTCAGAGAGGACTTTCTCCTTACAGAGGTCTTCTAGATCCTGCTCTGCACTGGACTGAGGTTTTCCAGGAAATGTTCCTCCCCCTCTGCCTCCAAAGGCAGGATGCTCTGACTGCTGGGGAATCGATCCCAAAGCATCCTCATCCGGACACAATCCCTCAGTGCTCTCAGCTGGCCCTGGCTGCTTCTCTGGTTTCACCCAAAAAGCGTCCATTTTCAGTTCTTGGCTGTCTCTCCCCTCCTTGACCAGAGCCCAGATCTCTAATTTGCCTTTTTGGCTGCAGTAGGGCCCTGACACACCCTGACTCCTTTTGATGTGCATGGTGTGGAGAGGGTCTGAAAGGCCTGGGGGCTCCTGCCAGCAGGTCTGTGATAAACGTTCCTGATATTCCTGGAGCAAAGGCTGGCACGATTCCTCTTCCTCCATTCCCATCCTGCAGTGCACGAAGAATTTAGGGAGCCAGTAACTCTGGATCATAGAAAGGGCCTGTTCCTGCATCTTGCTCAGGATCTCCCTCCTGGTGCTGAGGGCCTGGATGTGCCTGGCTTTCGGCAGAGATCCTGAGATGAATGAAGGGAATTACAATGGGGAGATGGCTCCATGTAGGCTGTTCCCCAGTCAAACCAAGCAGGTGATGGCATCCCATCCCCCTGGGAGCATCCAGCCCTCTCTGGAAGGGCAGATTCTCCGTTCCTTACCAAGGATGGTGGTGCAGAGGGTGACGACGCTGGAGCCCTCGCGCAGGTGAGTGGCTCTCAGCCTCTGAAGCAGGGACAAGAACAGGTCCCTCTGACTCCCATCTGACTCGTCCAGACCCAGAAGCCTTTCAGTGATGAGCCAGAAGTCGATCAGTTCTTCCCCTACGGATCAGACAAGGGATGGGAGTTGGGAGGAACCCCTGAAAGCCCCGAGGATGGACGAAGCAGAAGGAAAGATCACCTGGATGAACAGAGGGAACACAGCAGAGAAAAGCCACGCTTATGCATCTCCCTCCCAGCTCTGCTGCTGCCTCACCTTCCAAAGCTTTCCTGGGATCTCACCCATGTCCTCAGCTCTGTGCCAGTGTCCTGCCAGGCAGGACATCCCGTGCTCACCTGCAGTTCCTCGGATGAAGGTGAGGAAGTGCCGCATGCCGTGGCTCCCGCTGATGCACCTCTCCAGCAGCCACTGGTCAGCACCCTGCCAGTTCAGGAGCTCTGCTGTGGGACAGAGGGCACAGATGATACCAGGGGTTGCCTGCCAGATCCCAAGGAAACTCTCCAGCTCCCACCCTGAGAGAGGCTGCTGGAGGGAGACCAGCAAATCACCCTGAACTGGGAGTTTTGGGCAGGCTGTGGGATGCACACACGGTGTTTACAAGGATAACTTGCTCCTGTCAGGGACAGCCTGTCCAGCTGTTGTGCTTCACTTCCTTGCAAATGCCCATCTTTTCTCAAGTTTGGGGCTTGCCCTCAACTTCCTCCAGCTTTGAGTTTCAATCTAACTGGAGAAGAAGCAGCAATATACTGGGGAAAAGCCTTGGTGAATTGCTTATTTTTCTGAAATGAGAATCTGCATTCCTGCTGCCACAGCTTTTATTCCAGCGGCAGTCCTGGCTGGACTGAGAAGGTTCATTTTAGGGGCAAAGCGAGCACGCTCCAGACTTGTAGCCAGTAAGACAGAGCACAGCCCAGCAACAGCAGCAAACCCAAACCATCAGCACCTCGGTTTCCTGTACCCCCAGGATGCTCTCCAGCCCCTCTTCACCCCTGCACCCCTCGGTAAACCCTGCTAGGCAGGTTACTTAGCGAGCCCTTATTAACAGCGTGGAGGAGTAAATCCCCTCACATCCCATCGGGACCTGCTGCATCCCTAAAAACGGGGTGTACAACGCCTTTTTAACCCGGAGCAGAGGCACGACCCACTGGGCAGGCGGCGGGCGGTGACAGCCCCGGAGGGAGAGGAAGCCCAGGCGCGGAGGAGAAGCCGATCCGATTTCCTCCGTGCCGCGATGACTCACCTGCTTCCCCCGAGCGAATGAAAGCCAGCAGCTTCTGGCAGAGGACGAGGTGGAGGCACAGGCTGGATTTGCAGAAGTGAGGCAGCCTGTGCTTTTCCAGCCAAGCCAGTAAAGCCTCGGGGCTGGGATCCTGCGTTGCCCAAGGAGAGGATTAGCTGGGAGCGAGGAGCCGGCTCCTGCCTGGCCATCAGGGTGAGTGACAAGTCCCTGCTACAGGGGAAGGAGCTGGGGAAGGCGCCCTGTTGCTTTGTGGCGATGAAATCCACCCTGGTGCTGAGGCAGAAGGAGGTGGGGGGGATACTCAAGTGACAGCGTCCCCAAAAGCTCTGCCAGCCAAGGTGGGAGCCCCAGCTCTGCACGGCTTCCTTCCTTCCCCTGCCTTCCCAGAAGGGGCATGGAAGCTTCCCGGGAGCTTCCAGAGGAGCAGTTTCCTTTTTGCTTTGGGATCTGAGCGCTGCCAGCGGCGCTGGAGGCTGTGGGGAACGGGGGCGAGCGTGGGGAGGGAGGGCTGAGCCAGCCCGGTGGCCAGCGGGGCTTGGCTCCTGTTGAATTCGGGAGGAAGCCAGGGCAAGGGGTTGATGTTTGTGTCCTTCTCTGCCGCCACACATGCTCTCCTTCGCTCCAGCTCTCGGTGTTTATAGATAGACCCCATAAACTGCAGCAGGACTTTAAATGGCTTGTGCTCCGCCCAGGGCTTCAAAGCGAAATGACGCCTGGGTTTGAAATGATCGCCCAGCTGCACGAACAGGAGAGCCAGAGAGGGGCCTTGGCAGTGAGAAACCGGCTCCTTCCCTCCCCTGCCCTGTCCCTTCCTCCCTTTGCCTCCCACTCCTCCCTTCTAACGAGGAAAGTTCTCACCAGGTGGCTCGGGAGCTCTGGCCACAGGTACCACTGGCCCGTGCCACTGATGTAAAGAGGTGTCTGGCCAAAAACCTGGATCAAAACAGAAAGGGAGACCCAAAAGAGATGGAGGGTGGCAGAGGAGCCCAGAGCCCAGCTGTTCTAGTTAGTTCCCACTACACAGAAGGGCACAGAATTCCCTTTTAGACCTCCAAGTTGAGATCCTCAGGTTTCCCTCATTTTCCAGCCTGAATGAGGCGTATTCCCAGTTTTCCTGCGGCCTCTAATGCCAGAGAAAGTTGACCTGAGGAGAGCTCTGAAAGGCCCCAGGTTTCATGGTGCAGAGTGGACTTACGGGAAGGTTCAGAAAGGTGTTGAAAAAGTCCACAAAAACATCATCTTGCAGCAGCAGCCCCACGTCCGTGGAGGCGATGGATGCTACAGGGGGAGAACAAAAAAGTTACCTGGGCTTTGTGTTGCCAGCTGGGACATGAGTGTGAGCCAAAGGAGGAGGTTTTTTTGGGGGAATCAGCTTTAGGGGATGTGTGGTACGAGTTTGTCCCGTGTGCACACGGGAGGGTTTGGAGCTGGGACAGTCTGGGAAATGTGTCTAGGGATGGGTGGCACAGGCTGTTTGGAAAGCACCAGGTTCAGAAGCATGCAGGAGCTGGGAGTTGGAATGGCAAAGGCACGTGGTTCACAGAGGCTGGGCACAAACGTGGTGGCATCCACAGGGCAGGAGAAAGGAGGTGCTGTGGCTGCAGGACACAAGCTGGGCTCCTCTGCCTCGCCCAGACACTGGGCATAACATAGCTCATCCACCCAAGGCTCAGTGCAAGTGTCAGTGCCCAACCTCCCACCACCCTGTGAAGTTTTATTCATGTCTGAAAGATCTGGATGCAAAGAAGGTGGGCTGGCATCAGCCTGCTGCTGGGTGGATACCCTTGGAAATGTCCTCTTCCATGAAGGCACAGCTGTGATAGAGGGAAGACCCTCATTTCAAAGCTTAATACTGCTATTTCTCCCCACTTTTTCTACTTTTTGGGGTGTTTTTAGAGAGGCTGAAGCCCCCAGCAAAGGGTAACTCACCAGCAGTCATCATGATGGTGCAGTGTTCCGGTGCTGTGTTCCGAAGTGCCACCCTGATTGTGACACACTCGTTTCGGTGACTCCTGGGGGGTTGCAGGGCTCTTGGGGACCACAGGGCCCTCGGGGGCCACAGGGCTCTCAGCAGCTCCCTCCTGCCTGTCCCCCAGCCTGAAGAGAAGAATACTGAGAGAGGATGTGATCAGTGTCTAAAGATGTGTATGTGCCTGAAGAGGGGGTGTCCAGAGGATGGAAGCCAGGATGTTCTCAGTGCTGCGAGCATTGGGATGAGCAGAAATTGGGACAGAGGAACTCCCACCTGAACATGAGGAAAAACCTTACTGTGACAGTGACTGAGCGCTGGGATAGGTTGCCCTGAGATGTTCTGGAGATATTTGAGAACCACCTGGACACAATCCTCAGTACTGAGCTCGGGGGACCCTGCTTGAGCTGAGGTGTTGGGCCAGGTGGTCCCTTCTGACCTTACCCACTCTGTGATTCCGTGAAATATCACTTTTTAAATCACCAGCCCCACAGACACACTCAGGCAGTCCTGAAATGAAACCCTTCCCCTCTCCCTGCTGGGGAAAACTTCTTGCCTTCAAAGCAGGCTCCTGGAGGCACCTCAGCGCTGGGTGTGCTCGCTGTCAGTCCATCTGCTCGGCTTGGGATGGGAATTTCGCAGGAGACCCCACCGTGCCTGCCCCAAACAAACCCACATTTCTTATCAGCCGTTTTTCTTCAGCAGATCTGGGGCTGAGACCCAACCTTGGAGACCCTCCAGCTGGAAGAGGAGGAGGAGACGGAGGAGAAAAAGAAGGAACCTGTCCTGCAGCAGGAGTGACCTGTTTCCCTGGCAGGAGGAGGAACCTGCTTCCCAGGTGGGTGTTTGATCCTGCTCTTTGTAATGCCGTGGTGCCAGTCCTGCACAGGCAGAGAGGGGCAGGACAGTGTCCCACAGTGTCCCACAGTGTCCCACAGTGTCCCCAGAAGCAGGGCCACCACACGAGGTGGCGCTGTCAAATCAGGAATGTGAAGCTGTTCCCAGCAGCAGCAGCAGGGCTCTGCATCCCAGCAAAAGGCTTGGGACAGGAACAGCTCTGAACTGATGGTGGGGCTGGTGCCGGGAACCCCAGTGCTGGCACAGCCTCTCGGGGATGTAAAATCGCCTTCCTTCAGCCACAGCCCGGCCATATGGGCTGGTCACTGTGCCAAAACCCAGACTGATGTGGGGAAGGGGCAGCTGTGAGCCACAAAACACCCGCTCATCCCAGTGGTGGCAGGTGGAGCTGGGGGAAGGAGCTATGGAAGACCCTGGGGAGGAGCTCTGATCACAGATCCATAAAGATTTATGCTGCTGAGCCCAAGAGATGCGAGGAGGGGTTAGGAATGAACTGGAGTGGTGGCTGTCTCACACCTAAAAGACTCAAAGGTTCTCAGAGAAAGGTTAAAACTTAGAAAAAAACCCCCACATTTTCCAGTTTGCAACTGAGCAGATTGCCCAGTAGACTCCTCAGAGGCTGGGGTGGCTCATTCAGGTCTGGACTGACCTCAGTGGGACTGTGATGGCTTCTGCCAGGAAAAAATTAAGGTTGTGAGCAGGAATTGGCCAACATGGTCACTGTGAGAGGGCACAGGGCCATTTCCACAGAGTTTTCTCCCCAAGAAGTCTGGCAGGATGGAGCTGCAGCTTCCCAGGTTTTCCCAGGGCACATTGTCTCCTCACAAGAAGAGCTCACATGAGCTGGGTGGAAAAACCAGAAAAGATTTGAAAAAAAGAGGTGGGCACAAGAGCACAGCCCAGATTTAGAAGGGAGCTCGGAGTGGCTGGACTCCACAAAAAGATAAGGGCAGGCTTGCAACACCAAATACGTCAGGAGGGCTTCACTCCCCCTCTGCCCCAGCCTGAATCACCCACATCCCCTGTCCCTGGAGTGGGGAACAGCCCTCCCTTGGCAGCCCTGAGGTGACAAGTGGCAGAACCTCACGTTCCTAGGGTGGCAGAGGGGATGGAGCTGGGATTTTTCTTCTTGCTCAACATCAGCTGGCACCGCTCCCCCACGGTGGCAAAGTCCAAGGCTGCCCAAACACGATGTCAGCCTCACTGCCTGTGGTCACTGGCCACTCACAGCCTCCCCCAGCAGCCCAGCCTGTCCCTTTTGGTGCCATCAGGAGAGTGGTGGCTGTTTCCCACACAGCCCCAACATCTCAGCATTGCTTCTGGTTCTGGGTGATGATCTGGGGACACAGAAATCTGGGAAACTCCAGCCTGAGTGCAGAAACCTGCATAAGTATTATATCCCCACCATGAGCTTTTGGGGGAAGATTTGGGATTTTTTTTCCCCTTCTACATCTTCATCCTGTTTTCATAGAAAACATATAGGACATTAGGCCCACAGCTCCTTAAAACTGGAGTTGCCCAAGCCCTGAGGAATTCCAGTTCAGCCTTAAATATTAACTCCTTCCTTGAACATATGACAATTCTTTTTCACATGTGATTGCCACGCTCCTGAGTGCATAAGATCTGTTTTGCTCAGCAAGGACACCACTGGTGTTTCCTTTAGGGGTATTTTTGAGCCTGTTGCCATTAGTCTGTGGTTTCCTTGCTTGGGACTGTCCCTTACACCTGACAGCCCCTGTGGCAGGCTCTGCCTTCGCTTGTCTCCCCTCCAGCTGAAGCAGAGCCACTGGTGTAACCTTACCCGAGCCTCTGGGGCTGTTGACTTCAGCAGCCTGGGTTAAGTACGTGTTGTGGCAGGACAGGGACCTAATTCAGCCACAAGGGAGGGACATGGGCAGTGGCACTTTGCTGTTACCTTTTATAATTTACAATGTCGGGCCCGGATTCACCACTTAATCCTCTTAGGGCAGCGGTTTGAGGATTTCTGTACTCTCACTTACGGAGCTGTGCGTTGTGTTAGGCTGAAATTAATGTGCCAGCCACACAGCTAACACAGCCCCAACCTGGCTGGGAGTGCTTTTATCAGTGTGAACAATTAAAAAAAAAAGAAAAAAAAAATAGAGAGAGAGAATGGGGGAAAAAGAAAAAAATCCCAATAAAAACAACCCTGCCAATGCACAGTGTGACCGATTTCCAACTGCGGGGAAAGGCATGTGCTGAGCGCTCCCTGGGATATTCTCCACCCTTGTACAGAACGAACCGAGCCAAGCAATTTCTAGGTCTCAAATCCCGCCTGCCCCTGACGTTCTCATCTTCCAGCTTCCCCCCGGGCCGCTGTTGAAGGCGAGCACGTGCTCGGGGAAGGCGCTGGGTCCCCGGGCAGGGTCTGCGGAGAGCAGCAGGTAGGGGCTGCCCGCCGGGAATGCCTCTGGATCTGGGCAAGGGGCTGCTGGGGCATGGAGCAGTGCTGTGGGATCCTGGGAGGGGTGGCAAGGGGGGACAGGCAGCCAGGTGGCTCAGAAAGGGGTGGGGAGGGAGGTGGCAGCACCCAAGGTCCCTCTTCCCTCTGTGCATCTTGGCACGTGGCCCGGCGAGCCGAGTGGGGAGGGAGGGTTTTGGGTTTTTTCTCACTCTGCATGCACCTCTTGCTTATTAATTTGCTTTCCTAAACTGCCCTTTAGCACAGCTCAGGTGATCTGCTCTGGAAAGCTGAAAGCCCTCTGGCCACCAGCCCACGGCCACCCTTGACCCTGGCAGCATCTTCAAAGGGAGCATGGGCCTGCTGCGGAGCGTGCAATGTTTGCTCACAGCCAGAGCCAGCAGCTACTGCCTGCCTGCCTTGGGGGGTTTCGTCAGCCCCCTGAAGCGCTCCAGGGGAGACCGGTCGGCCACTGCTGCTTGCACAAGGTCAGTCCCCCAGTGCACTCATCCCCTGTCCTCGGTCACTCCTCAGCTCAGCGCTTGCTCTCGGGTGTTGGGTTGATTTTTCCAGCCCTCCTGTTGCTGGTGGCGGTGGGTGAAAGCTGGGAGAGCCTCGGGAGCCCACCTGCCGTGGGTGCAAGCTGTGCCCAGGGGTGGGCAGAGATGGGGGTGATGCAACACCAGGACAGCCAGCCCCTGGCTGATGCTACCTGGCTGCAGTTCAGTTCCTCGTGCAGGACCTGCCAGCCCAAAGCACTGCCCTGGATGCAAGTGGAATAGCTCAGTCTAGGAATGTCTTGACTGTTGAGCATGGGGAGAGGAGAGATGCTGAAGATGTTCCTGCTTATTGCAGGGGGTTGGACTTGATGACCTTTAGGTCCTTTCCAAACCAAACCAATGCATTCTGTGATTCCATGATGTCATGTTCATCCCTCTTCCCTCCCAGCTGTGCCACTGCAGGAGGCTTGGGCGTTTTGGGTGTGTCCAGCCTCCCCCTGGGACCTAACCATCACAGCAAAATGGGCAACTCCTCCTCCTTGTGTGACATCTCCGTTGGAAAAAAGCCCAACAAACCAAAACATTCCTTTCTACTTCTGAATTTTTCTTTAGGGCTGGTGAAAACCCAACAGGTACCTGGGCTTAGCAGTCTGGGTGTGCAATGTGTTGGGCTTGAGATCCCAGGATCTGTGGTGAGGTGCCATTCTTGGAGATGGCCCCACAGTGCTGGGAAAGTCCCAGAACTGCAGGAGCAAAGCCCTCAGCCACCTGCCCCATGGCCTGAGCCAGTGAGAAATTTCATATCCCGTCTATTTAATCCTCAATTTTCCACCCCCCTCTTTCCCCCCACACAATGGTGTGATATTTCTGCATTTTAAGGCATTCCCAAATGAAGGACAGGGATGGAGGGGGGCACACCATAAGGGATGAGTCACAACAGCCCCAGCAAGGCACAGTGGAGAGGGAGGCTTTGATCCTTTACTGCCTGGCTGCTGGCTGGAGCTGGAAAAGGGCAGGAATGTCTCTTGCTACCTGAGAGAAACTCATCCTGATCCCCAAACCTTCCCTGGGGAGCACAGGGACCCGGCTGTGCCCTGTCCCTGAGCATTTGCTCTGCTGCCTTGGAGGCAGGAGGCTGCAAAGTCCAGCCTGCCCGACCCTCACAACTCACCATCCTCTTCCCAACCTTGGCACTCCTTTCAGGATATCAAACCGTGCCAATAAAGGTGTTCCCACGAATTAATAGGAGGAAGAAGGAAAAAGCTGTGCCAGTTGGGACTCGCCCCTGGAAGGGGACATTGTCTCACCCTCTGGCTGCACGTGTGGCCCTTTGAAGGTGGATTTCAGTCCACCCGTGGGTTGTGTCACCTGTTGGCACCCAGCCCTCCCCAGCTCCCC